AAAAAAAAAAAAAAAAAAAAAAAGAAATAAATAAATAAATAGCCGCAAAATTCGTTCGCAACGCAATTTTCATTATACGTATGCACGTATATCGCGAATAATCGTTCGCACGATCTTCTCCTTCGATTCTCTTCTTCGAGAAGGAAGACGAATTCGCACGAAATAGCATTGTTCCGCTCGTTGTTAAGTTTACGTAATTTTTTTTTCCTCGAAAGAGGGAGAGAGAGAGAGAGAGAGATTCTCGGAAGGAAAAAGGATACGAAATATGATATTTACCATTGCTATTTTTCACGATTGGTTTCGGATAATTTATCGTTTTTAACGACGACACGGGAAGTAGTTTAATTCAATATCCAATGGATTAACTTGGTCGCAATAAATCTCGAGGCTAATATCGCAGTCACCTTTTGTTTGTGTCCCGGCGAATCATCATCATTGATCACTGTCAACGATCCAAGATCTTTCTATGTAACAAGTTATTGTATTTACATTACCCGTCCTTTACGAAATATCCCCCCCCCCCCCCTCTTGTGAATTTCTTTCTTTCTTATCGGTTTCTTTCGAGGATCTCCTTTTTTTCGAACTTTTAAGAAAAAGAAGTTTCCTGCATAACCGACTTTATCCAATCATTTTCTTTATCTTCATCGAAAATCGAGTCTTTCAAAAATAAAATAATAAAATTGATTTCGATTTCCTCCAAATCCCTTAGACGCAAAAATTCGGTCGAAATCGACACGAAATCGTTCTCGAATACAGAGAATACGATTTTCAGGCGGAGAGGAGGAAACAGGGCAACCTTGGTCGTCCTGTTTGACTGATGGCAGATTCTCGATCACGATGGATCCCTCGACAGGTCGAATAAAGAAGAAGACGAGCCAGAAAGAGAGAGAGAAGATATGCGAGGTCACGTTCGATACGAATCCTGCTCATCCTGCTTAGTCCTTTCGATTCGTCCTCTCACATTACACTTTTCTTTTCTTTCTGAAGAAGTTTTGGAAGGACGAAAAATTGGGATCGAAGATTTTTCGTAATTTCATCGATACGGTTCGAGAGTCTACAACCTCTTCGAGAACGGCAACAACCCAATATCGGTATGCAAATCAGCCTTCCATCACGAAATGGAACTCGAAGGGGCGCACCGTCTCTCCTTCGACGTCCAATCTCTTACCTCCTCCTGGAGACATCCTCTGATAAATATAAAGCAGCGCGTTGCCCCAGAGGTGGTCT